TGATATGTCACGTTTTTACAATATCAAAAACATGTTCTAGGCATATAAATCAAAATCTGAGGATTACAATGTTTCTCAAAATCAAAGCCAGTGACATGCCTGTTGCTCTAGTTAATTTTTTTAGTAAGGTTTTACGGCGCTCCCAACTGCATAAGGTCATATGAGCGCCCAGGGGTCAACAGAGAAGTCCAAATGGGGAATCAGGCTTACTCTGCTCTCCTCTCTAGCCTGAACAGCACCAAGTATGCTTTGACTATCGAGGCACCCCGGAAATAGCAATTCACAAGAGAGTGACAAACATACAAAGGAAGTAGAGAAAAAATGACGGTAGTAAGGATGAGGAAAGAAAAAGCAGATGTCTGATAGGAAAGAAGGAGCAAACCACACCAGAGCACCCGCCAACTGTACTGTTCATCAGGCATCTGGCTGAAGAAAATGATTGGGAAAAATTAACCCCTTGTATAAACGAAATTCAAAATTTCCAAAATAACAACCCCCCCCCGTCCCCCATATCAACAATGAAACACACAAAATGTATACATATATATATATATAGATAGAGAGAGAGAGAGAGAGAGAATACCACTGGCCAGACTCAACAATACAATAATGGTATAATTTCACTGATATTCAAAACTGGCAGCTTTATAAATGTATACTCACTGAAGATAAATTAAAATTTTCATCAAAACATACAATAATTAAAAGTATATATCATAAAATGGAAGCATAAAAATATAATATGCATATGAAGAAAAACCCCCCAACTGATTAGCATAAGGTTTGTAGATATGCATCCAATGTTGCGCATAACACTTTTTCTGTGTCATAATATCATAGCTCTGGGTTTCAATTCGGCATTCATTAACTATTAGTATTGTTCGGGGTTTTTTTGAGTAAAGAATACATGTAGCACGTTCACACAATATGGTCATTTAGTGCGATGGAATTATCGAGAAAAACAGACGGACACAACAGAGGGGCAATTTATAAGAAGGACCTCCCAGTGGCACCCTCCAACCACCCACCTTCACTGACTAAACTGACCAAAGTCATTGTGAACTCAAGTATTCTGATCCGTACCGGATCACAATGAATAGAGGCACCAAGTGAATGACAGAGTGATCAAAATTCTTTTTTTTGGTTTGTTTTATGTTTTAGTAGAGGTTTTACCGGGCTCACAACTGCATAAGGTCATATTATGAGCGCCAAGGGGTTGATGTCAACAGAGAAGTCCAAACGGGGAATCAGGCTTACTCTGCTCACCTCTCTAGCCTCAACAGCACAAAGTCTGCTTCGACTATCAAAGCACCCCGGAAATAACAATTCACAAGAGAGGGATATACATGATACAAAAGAAGTAGAGGAAAATGACGATAGTAAGGATGAGGAAAGAAAAAGCAGCAGTTCCCCTTATGTTGCTCAGGCACAGTATGTGCATGACATTGATAAATCAGCCCATTTACAATTCTTGTGTGCATAAGAACAGGTTAAGATCCCCCTTTGGGATAGGGCCTGAAAAGACTTCAGTCAGTAGTACTGCCCTGGTGGGGGACTAATGACATAGTGATCAAAATTCTTTTGTGTAAAAAAAAAACTTGAAAAGGTGATCGCAACGCTTTGACATAAATTTCTTAGTCATTTTTCATTTTTGCTTCATACTGTAAAGTAACAGAAATATCATTCTAATAAAAAAAACGAAAACAGTACAGTGATTATCATAGATCTATTTAATCTAAGCATGGGCAAAACGCGTCCCAGTCATGGACCAGATTAAATGATTCCCAACATCTTCTGTATCAAAGCAGGGGAGAATTGGGTAAAACCTGTTGAAATACCCAAGCTTATTATTAATATTATACATAATAGACACATTTCTTTCACACGGTTGGAATATTTTTCAAACTGATTGTTGTAATTTTTCCTTCAACTGTATAAATCGCTAGGATTAGGAAGAAGGAAGACACTAGAGTCAGCTGTTGAGGTCAAGCAAGAGAACATCAACAATATCATTATCATCAACATCATCAACAATACCACGCATGCAACAGCTTTTACTATTATCATCATCACAGGCAGTGTATACTACCTTATCCTTCTTGTGAAAACCTCAATACGTGAGGTGTGCTGACAAAATGAGTTACATGTACTTCTTAGATTTAGTCGCTTTTAAGCACAAGAGGGCTATCACGAAAAAAATGCTGTTTTGAGAAAATCGAAGGTATAGGTTTTTGCCCTTTGTTCAGTTTCTTTAAAAGACAAGGAGAGTTTTCTCTATAACCAAACAAATATTATACACACCACAGAAATCAAACTTCTCCTATAGGTAGGGCAAAGCCCACATCTGGAGTAGGTCAAGATTTCTGGAAATCCCCTGAAATCTGGGTTAGCCCGCTTCTCCTTAAAAGCAACCATTTCAGCCTCATGGATGTTGAAACATCAGCTTCATAGGTGAAGTTTGTACATTTTGCTAGTACCGTATGGAATAATATAAGACATGGTAGACTTGAACAAAATGGCGTCAATTGAAAATCAAGAAATCTGACCCCAGCGTAGATTTTCGGCCGATATCTCCATTCTTGGATTGCAAGAAGTAACTCATTTTGTCAGCACACCTCACATACGCTTTTGATAAGTATCCTGAACCTACCCTTCACATAAGGAATTTCGGACCGTCTTCGCTTAGTTTTAGCAAGTGTTTTTCGGCACTTGCAACACAATAAGGCCATATATAAGTGCCGAAGATTAGAGGTGTTACAAGAGAGTAACAAACACAAAATAGAAGGAGGGGAGATAAGGACGATAGATGTTTGGACCGTCTTCTCGGAAGAAAGTGAAATGTAGCTATAAAAAGTACCAATGTGCAGTCTACCATCCACAAAACTAACCTTCCCGTAACCCTGTGTGGACTTACAGCTAACACAGCATGTGCACAACGTTATACTATCGACAAGCGCGACAAAATACCACATGAATCAAACTGCGTGACAAAATACCACATGAATCAAACTGCGTGACAAAATACCTCATGAATCAAACTGCGTGACAAAATACCTCATGAATCAAACTAAAATACACAGCATGAAAAATATTCACTCACTTGTGTACCAGTACTGCTTTGTTCTTCACTAAGATTCCACTGAACTATTAAAATATCTTCTCGTTATAATACATAAAAATACACATTGTTTAAAAAGAGCACGGTGGATTTTCATGAACCCTGATTTATCAGCAGCACTAAAAATAAAATAAGCTTAAAACAGGGGTGCCAAATGATTTTGGAAAAAACCCTGAAAATGAGCCGAGCATCACATCTCACCTAAACCGAACCTTGTAAAGTTTTTCAAAGAGCAAACAAAAACACATTCTCTCTGTCTAACCTCTCCCCTTTTCTTTGCAAATCCAACGGATGAAAAAACCCCGGAGAAACCACCGGACATTTGGCAGCCCTGTTAAAAGTAACTGTACAAAATAAAACACATTTCAGACATTTGTTTCTTAATCAGTGCCTGAGGCGCATTTTTTAAGGGTGGGTGGGGATTGGGGGGGTGTCTTAACATTAAACTTTGGTGTTAATCACACTCAAAGCGTACAGAACAACTGAATAACTGTATATATATATATTTGTATATATATATTGCTGGATCGATAACAACATACATTTTATATATATATAAGATAGCACAAACAAAAAGTGAAGAAATGACGTTGCTTATTGTCTCTGTCATTCCACAATTGCCTGAGCATTTTTTTGAAGTTTTAGAAATTTTTAATGAAAAAGAGAGCCAAAATCAGAACAATGACTTAATAGTAATAACAAATAGTAAACAGCATTTGTGTGTGGGTGTATATATATATAGTGTAAAGCGCATAGAGCTTGCTGTTGAGCAGGGATGTGTACTAAATATATATATATATATAGTTTACACTACATTATTACTCCAGCAGACCCTAGGATACTCTGAAACATTTTCGTCTTGGGAGAATACAGTGTTCGGAGCTGATTAAGTGCTCAAACACTAACATACTGACAAGATCTTTCACTGTCTATTGCTGGGTACCCATTCCCACCTGGGCGAAGTGAAGAAAATTTGTGTAAAGCGCCTTTCCGAAGGACACAACGTCGGGCCCCAGACAGGATTTGAACCCACGACCTTACAGTTGCGAGTTCGCGAGCCTAAGTAACCACTAGGCCACCGACGCCATGTATTATTTTTCAATTAAAAACTACGAAGGGAATAATGAAACAAAGCTAAACTGTATCGTAAGACGGCCCTTGACATTTTTCTTCCAATCGTGGCCTTATCTGGGATGCTCGGCAATGTGGAATGAACAGACGCTGACAATATGGAACCAGAACTGAAGCTGGAAAATAAAATCAGAAAAAAAATCCCTAGACCACGCAAAAAAGCAACACCGTTTCCCAACACTAACAAAGTTATTCGTAAATTTTTAGTTTAGTTTAGTAAAGAGTTTTACGGCACTTGTAACACAATAAGGTCATATAAGTGCTGAAGATTAGATGTGTTACAAGAGAATAACAACAAACGTAAAAAAGAAGGAGGAGAGATAAGGACGATAGATGTTTAAGAGGAAAGAAGGAGCAAACCACACCAGAGCACCCTCCAACCACCCACCTCGTAAATTCTATTTGGTTAATTAAACATTTCAAAGGCAAGAAAACGCGTCATGTGCACACTAACCAAACATGTTAATATAAATAAGTACATATATTTTTACAAAAACAGTAAAATAAGGGGTGGGGGTAAGCAAATCACAGAAATATTAGACATTGTATATCACTAATGAATAAACTCAAAAGCAAGTTAAGGTAAAAAAAAAACAACAGACAACCAACATAAATGTGTATAAGGTAATTATTACCAATATTTCGGGGGGATGAAAATCAAATGCTGCTAAAATTATATATAAAAATTCAACATAGAGCAAGAGAAACCAAAAAAAAAAAAAAGAAAAAAGAAGCGAAAACAACTAACAAGCAAAACAAAAAACATTTATTGCGTGTCTACCGAAGCGACCAAAGATACGGTACTTCATTCCCTCAGCTGTGGACATTGCACATAATACTGATACACATGTGCCCCTTCGTATAACACTTACACACAAACACGTACAGGTGCCCACGCAAACTCATACACACGTACGGACACAGCAGAGCACACAACGGATGCACATACACACAAACATATGCATGCACATACACATTTATGCCCGGTCGTGCACGCACACATACGCCCAAACATGTACACAAATGCCCGGTCGCGCGTGCGCACACACACACACACACATGTGTGAGTGAGCGCGCACACACACACATATTCCCAGTCGCGCATGCACGCACGCACGCACGCACACACCCACACGAGTGAGTGAAAACATCAGCAGTAAGTTGATGGGTCTGGAGCAGAGAGTCAGATACTGTGGAGATATCATGGAGCACGGAAGTTGTAACAAGAACATAGGCGCGGAAGGAAGACCGCTGCACTTCCTTCTTCTGTTGAGGCATGGCACTAAGTGGCAACATTCATCAAAGTTCATCTTTGGTCTGAAAAATACAGAGACAAGCACATTTATAAAAACAACAAATAAATAAATAAATAAATAGCTGAGCGCTCTTTTTCTTTCGTAAGAGTTTTAGTTAATTTTAGTAGAGGTTTTACGGCGCTCGCAACTGCATAAGGTATTATGAGCGCCAGAAGATTAGAGGTGTTACAAGAGAGTAACAAACGTAAAAAGGAAGAAGGGGAGATAAGGACGATAGATGACTGATAGGAAAGAAGAAGCAAACCACACCAGAGCACCCACCAACCACCCACCATAAGAGTTTTACGGCACTTGTAACACAATAAGGTCATACAAGTGCCAAAGATTAGAGGTGTTACAAGGGAGTAGCAAACACAAAAAAGGAGGGGGAGATAAAGACGATAGATATTCGATAGGAAAGAAGGAGCAAACCACACTGGAGCACCCACCAACCACCCATCTTGACTGCTCTCTTCCTTATGTACCTGACCACACAGGGAATACGGAGTCGATCCTCACAGAATAACCAGGAAGGGATTTTAAACTTATGTTTTAAGAAATGTTCAACCGTTAGAAACATTCATTTGTTCACATTTAGGAATGTTCATTATTTACAAATAGAAATGTTCATATATTTACACTTAAAAATGGTCATTTATTCACATCATATATGAGTGTGATAGAATAAAGAATTGCAATCATTTCATCTCTTCTTAAGATAACTCAACCTTAAAAAAACACAAAAAACCTCTCACCTTTTGAGGTCGGGAAGAGTGAGTCTTCATATATTTAATTATTTCCTCCGCACTCTGGCTCTGAATGTCCCAACCATTGGCGTGCTGAAAAGAAACAGATGCAAAGTTAGTCTTTAGTTTTAGTAAGGTTTTACGAATGGAGAACCATGATCGCCGATGTCTGTCGCAGATCTGGCACTGGATGATGATGATGAAGGTTTTACGGCGCTTGCAACTGCATAAGGTCATATGAACGCCAAGTGGTGGATGTCAACAGAGAAGTCTTTACAGGGAATTAGGCTCACTCTGCTCACCTCTCTAGCTTCAACAGCACAAAGTCTGCTTCGACTATCAAGGTACCCCGGAAATAGCAGTTCACAAGAGAGTGACAAACATACAAAAGAAGTAGAGGAAAATGATGATGGTAAGAATGAGGAAAGAAAAAGCAGCATTTCCCCCCATGTTGTTCCGGCACAGTATGAGCAAGCCATTGATAAATCAGCCCATTTACAATTCTATTGTGCATTAGAACAAGTTAATATCCCCCCTTTAGGGATGGCCTAAAGACACTTCAGTCAGTAGCACTGCCCTGAGGGAAGGGGGGGGGGGAAGCAAAAAGTTAAAGCTTGAGTAAAGAGAAACATACTGAAACAATGACAGTCAGAACAGACAGGCAGAAATGACAGAAGGAAAGCAGGATCTACTCATGGCACCCTCCAACCACCCCCCCCATATGCAAACAGTGACATGAGACATATAACCCCCAGCAAAGGTGAGTGTTGTCTTAGTTTTGTTATAGTAAGAGTTTTATGGGACACTTGACAAATGGTGGGTGACATATGACAGATGACAAATGATGGGTGACATATATGTGACATGTGACAAATGATGGGTGACATATGACATGTGACAAATGGTGGGTGACATATGACAGATGACAAATGATGGGTGACATATGACAGGTGACAAATGACGGGCGACATGTGACAGGCATCATGCTCCACATCAGACTCACCTGCCTCTCCCCGCGCTTGGAGCCTTTGTAAAACCTGACGGTCGGGTAAGCCCTCACGGCCGCCTTGTTGCAGATGTTGGGCTCGCTATCACAGTCCACTTTGCCCGCCTTAGCAAAATCTTCGATGGCCTGAACAACACACAGAGAGGAAGTGAAAGTTCACATTTAGTAAGAGTTAAGTTTTAGTTTTAGTAGAGGTTTAACGGTGTTCGCAATTGCAAAGGTCATATGAGCGCCAAAGAAGAAGAGGGAAAATGACGATAGTAAGGATTAGGAAAGAAAAAGAAGCAGTTCCGCGTGTGCAGTACAGGCACAGTTATGAGCATGACATTGATAAAAGAGCCCATTTACAATTCTACTGTATGTGATTCAATATGGAAGCTCATGCGCCACCAAGGAATACCTGACAAGTTCGTGAGATTGATCAAGAAGATGTATGAGGGAATGAGCTGTTGTGTCTTACTTGGAGGGCAGCGGTCAGACTCATTTGAAGAGAAACAGGAGTGAGACAGGGATGCCTGCTATCTCTTTTTATTAGCAGGGGATTGGATAATGAGACAGACAACATCAGGACAACGCGATGGCATTCAGTGGATCCTTTCCAGTCAGTTGGAAGAGTTGGACTTTGCCAACGACTTGGCACTTCTTTCTCACAGTCGAGCCCAGATGCAACAGAAGACAGATCGCCTCAGGACTTTCTCCTGTAGTGTTGAACTCCATATTCACACGGATAAAACGAAAAGCAGCTGACGTTCCTATCACACTGCAAGGGGCACCACTGGTGGATGTTGAGTCCTTCACCTACCTGGGAAGTGTCATCAACAAAGCAGGGGGAACAGACGAGGAAAACAAGGTTATACAGTAGTCTCCGCCTAAGAACCCGGTGCTCGGGAGCAAGGAAACGCGGGATCTTAGGCGAACCGGGATCTTAACCGACGAACCCAGGAAAGAATCTATGTTGACCCATGTTAAGGCTCACAATCGGTAAAATGGTCTCCCTCCACTCTACAATGAGCTGACGTGCCCCCTTGGTGGGTTTATGGCATATGACGAGCAAAGAGTGGTTAACCTTGATGACCTATCACGGTGCATAGTGGCATGAGGCGAGCCATTTTCACTTATTATCCTATCATGAGTCTCAGGATCTACGATTATCCAGTTGCCCCGCCTCTTTACCTGTCAAAAATTTATAGCTTTCCATCTCTGACCGAGCCCCCCCCCCCTCCAAACCGCCTTTGTCGTTACACACCATTACGTTGTGAACGCACCAATTAAAATTCAGGAGTAGAGACAACTCCTGCAATGGTCAAGGAGGAGTTCACGGTTCGATGTGATCCCGCCAGGAGCGAATTTGTAGGCCCTACTCACCCAGCGAGTGATGCAAGCTTAGGTGGCGAGCTCAGGTGTGAGTGCGATGCGTGGGGAAAACAAACGCGTCGGTCAGTTCACACCCCGGTGTGATCCCGTCTGGGGCAAACATTGTATCGCTTCATCGAGTTTTACAACATGTATGTGATCACATTCACGATAGTGGCTGATCTTTGACGCGACGGACAGTCTATTGATATCAACTTTTTACTCTTGGTTGATCGGCTGTGCCCACCCGTTTTTTTAAAATAGCAAATTATGATCTGAAATGCGGGATCTTAGCCGAATGTAGACCATCAGAGCGGGATCTTAGGGGTGACTTTTGTATAGTAAAAATTCTGTTTTCCTAAAACAACAGGATCTTAAGCGAAACGGGATCATAAACGGTGGGATCTTAGGCGGAGACTACTGTAATCCAAAAGGCAACAGCAGCATTCTTCATCCTCAGGAATATATGGATGTCTAATAGAAGGAACTGGGATTGAACACCAAGCTGAGGATCTTCAAAATAAATGTGAAGACTGTTCTACTGTATGGTTCAGAGACATGTAGGCTCACAGCATCAGCAGTAAGGAGTCTGCAGAGCTTCATAAATGGATGTCTAAGATTATTAAGAAGGATAGTGGGGATCAAGTGGTACGATCGAGTCACAAATGCTCAACTGTGGGAAAGAACAAGCCAAATGCCAGAAACGGAAGACATACAGGTGAAGAAATGGAAATGGATTGGGTACACCCTGAGGAGACCCCCGATAAGCATCATCAGACAGGCTTTGTTTGTTTTAGTAGAGGTTTTACGGCGCTCGCATCTGCATAAGGTCATATGAGCGCCAGAAGATTAGAGGTGTTACAAGAGAGTAACAAACATAAAAAAGAAGAAGGGGAGATAAGGAAGATAGATGTTTGATAGGAAAGAAGAAGCAGACCACACCAGAGCACCCGCCAACAGGCTTTGACGTGGAATCCACAAGGAAAACGTAAGAAAGGAAGACCAAAAATGACATGGAGGCGAGCGGTACAAGCCGAAAAGGAAAAGGCGGGGACATCATGAAAACAGCTAGAAAAGGATGCACAGGACAGGCTTCGCTGGAGAAATGTTGTTGATGGCCTATGCTCCACTGGGAGTTAAAAAGGGCAAGAGAGAGACAATTCTACAGTGCATAAGAACATGTTAATATCCCACCGTTGGGAATGGCTTAGAGACACTTCAGTCAGTAGCACCGCCCCGGGAAGGGGGGGAGGGATTAAGAAGCATCCTGGCTCTTTTCCTGTACAAAAACAAAAAAACGATGAAGGGTACACATGTGGCGTCGGTGGCCTAGTGGTTAGGCTTTCGGACTCGCAACCGTAAGGTCGTGGGTTCGAATCCCGTCAGGGGCCCGACGTTGTGTCCTTGGGAAAGGCATTTTACACGAATTTTCCTCACTTCACCCAGGTGGGAATGTGTACCCGGCTATAGACAGCGAAAGATCTTGTCAGTTTGTTAGTGTTTGAGCGGTTAATCAGCTGCTTGCACTGTATGCTTCCCGGGAAGCTGAGAATGTTTCGGAGTGCTCTGTGGTCTGCTGGGGTAATAATATAGTGTAAAGCGCATAGAGCCTGCTGTTGAGCGGGGATATGCGCTATACAAATGCTATTTATTATTATTATTATTATTATTACACGTCACATTGTTCACAAAGGGGTTTAACGGTCAAGGAAACGCTCACCTCTGCCACTCGCTCAAACTCTGGCCGAAAGACCTGGCAGTGACCGCACCAGGGGGCATAGTAGTCCACGATCCACGAGGAGCTCGACTCTAGCACCAGCTGCTGGAAGTTGCTGGAGGTCAAGGTCACCACCTTGCTGGGCAGGAATTCGTAAGCCCAGTTGCGGAGGGAGCCCGCATCCCTGTGCCAGCCGTTGTACTTACTGGTGACGAGAGAGAGAGAGAGAATAAAAGGAATGAAGGGACTTTGAGGGAGAGAGAGAGAGAGAGAGAGAGAGAGAGAGAGAGAGAGAGAGAGAGAGAGAGAGAGAGTATACACAGATATGAAGAGAGAGAGAGAGAATACAAGGCATGACATTTTTAGTTCTGGTAGAGTTTTTACAGCACTTGCAACTGCATAAGGTCATAGGAGCGCCAAGGGGTGGATGTCAACAGACAAGTCCTTACAGGGAATCAGGCTTACTCTGCTCACCTCTCCAGTTTCAACAGCACAAAGTCTGCTTCGACTATCAAGGCACCCCGGAAATAGCGTGTCACAAGAGTGTGACAAACATACAAAAGAAGTAGAGGAAAATGACGATAGTGAGGACTAGGAAAGAAAAAGCAGCAGTTCCCCATATGTTGTTCCAGGACAGTATGAGCATGGCATTGATAAGTCAGCCCATTTACAATTCAACACAAAAAAGGAGGAGAGACCAGGCCAATAGACGTTTGATAGGAAAGAAGGAGCAAACCACACCAGAGCACCCGCCAACCACCCACCAAACCACTTATTTCAGCGACCCCCCGTATACACAAACAAACAAACTACTCACTAGTGCTGGCTACCTTTGGTTGAGCCTGTGGTGTAGAGCCGCATAAATGGGTGAGTTTAGTTTTTAGTTTTAGTAAGAGTTTTACGGCACTTGCAACACAATAAGGTCATATCAGTGCCGAAGATTAGAGGTGTTACAAGAGAGTAACAAACATAATAATGAAGGACGGGAGATACAGACGATAGATTTTTTATAGGAAAGAAGAACCAAACCACACCAGAGCACCCGCCAACCACCCACATAGGTGGGTAAGAGCAGTCGCCCTGCGATTGACACAAGCACACCCCCCCTCCCCCCCTATGCACAATCAGACAAACCACTTACTTCAGTGACCCCCTGTACACACAATTAGACAAACTACTCACTAGTGCTGGCTAGCCTTGGTTGAGCCCGTGGGGTAGAGCCTCATCAGTGGATACGAGCGGACGCCCTGCGACTGACACAAGCTCTGCTGGGCCTGGCAGTCCACCTGGGCCACATACACCTTCTTTGTGTCCTTCAGCATCTGGGTGGGGGGGACAAATATAAGAGCTTTACGGCACTTGAAACACAATTAGGTCATATAACAGTCTATCTGGGCGAAATACACCTTCATGTCCTTTTGTTTTAGTTTTAGTAGAGGTTTTAAAGCGCTGCATAAGGTCATATGAGCGCCAAGGGGTGGATGTCAACAGAGAAGTCCTTACAGGGAATCAGACTTACTTTGCTCACCTCTCTAGCTTCAACAGCACAAAATCTGCTTCGACTATCAAGGCACCCAGAAAATAGCGGGTCACAAGAGTTTGACAAACATACAAAAGAAGTAGAGGAAAATGATGAGATAGTAAGGACTATGAAAGAAAAAGCAGCAGTTCCCTGTTGCAGTTTAGGCACATAATGAGCATGACATTGATGAATCAGCCCATTTACAATTACAATTCTACTGTGCATAAGAACTCGAGATTTTAATGTCCCCCCCCTTTGGGAATGGTCTAAAGACACTTCAGTCAGTGGCACTGTCCCAGGGGGGTAACATAAGAGTCTTACAGCACTTGCAACACAATAAGGTCATATAAGTGCCGAAGAAAAATTTTCTGCCGCTACACAGATTTGAACCCAGGACCTTTGAATGAGAAGCAAACACCTTAACCTTTTGGCCATAAGAGCCCCCCAACAACAGACCCCCCCCCCCCTCTACAAGAGCCCCTACCCCCCAAAAAGGAACAAG